AGTAACATAATCCCTGTGGTGTGGCGGGAGGTGGTTTGGTTGGTCGGGGGAGGGGAGGGGAGGGGAGGGGAGGGGGGAGGGGAGGGGGATTGTCAGTGGGCGGTTGTGTCCCTTGTCGACAAGGTGGTTGGTCTTCACGATGTGTTTGAATTGGGTTCGAATTGGATGGGGGGTTTTTTTTTGAGGGCAAGTGGGCGGTGATGGTGATGGGCATGGGTGATGGTGATGGATGGGGGGGGAAGAGGCATGGGTGATGGTGATGGTGCTGGTGGCCTGTTACGACTGAAGAGTGGCAAGATGGGCCCAGAGATCGGTGGTAAACGCGCTGGCGTCCGAGTCTAGGAGCGGGGTGACGGAAGTGAGGAGGGTGTCGCGGGCCGAGTCGTCGCGCGGCGCAAGATGCGAGATGACCATGCTCACAAAGTCGGTGTCGACCTCACCAAAGAGAGCTGTGGCCTTGGTCTTCAGCCAGGGGCGGACGGCGTCGGCGAGGGCATCAGCGTCCGGGAGAGCAGCCCAGTCGAGGGTGGCCGGCGAGGCACGAGAGCGGCTGGAACGCTTGCGGCGCTTGCGGCGGCGCGGGGCGTCCGAGCCGCCGGATGCAGCATCGTCCGAGCCGGCCGAAGCTTGCGAGTTGTTGTCGGCATCGTCGTCGTCGCCCGAGGCGTCGTCGTCTGAGCCGTGGCGGTGGCGGCGGCGGCGGCGCTTCTTGCGCTTCTTGCGCTTGCGCTTGCGGCGGCCCGAGGCGTCGTCTGCGTCTGCGCCTGCGTCTGCGTCTGCCTCGCCCGACGCAGCCTCGTTGTGGCCTTCGTCGGCGTCGCCGCGCTCCTGCCGCTCAGCGCGGCGGTCCTCGTCGTCGCGCATGGCCTCCATGCGGCGGGCGGCGGCGCGGCCGGGAGCGCGGGAACGGGCCATCTCGGTCGCGTACATGTTGTCGTCCGGAAGCAGGTCGACGCTGTGGGCGTCGAGGTTGGCCAGGCCAAGCGAGGCCAGAGCGGCACAGCGCTCAGCATCCGCAGCCTTGGCAGCCGCCTCGTCGGCGAGGATGGCAGCACGGCGCGACTCGCGGCGGAGCCACTGCTTGACGGCAACCTGGTAGGCGCGGTCGGCGGCAAGCTTCTCCGACTCGAGAGCATCCGCCCGCATCTGAATTGCATGCTTCCGGCGCTCATCTCGCTCGGCACGAGCACGGAGTTCGCGATCCTCTGCAGCAGCACGATGGCGATCGTAGTTCTCGACGGAAGAGCGGAAGCGAGACTTTTCCTTTGCCAGCAGATCATCATCATCACCATCACCATCACCATCATCCCCACCATGACCATGACCATGACCATGACGACGAGCAGAGCGATCAGACGACAAAGTAGTAGTAGCAGCAGCAGCATTTGCCATAGTGGTCGAGTAGTGGTTTGCGAGGAGTTGATCGAGTTTGAGACGAATCTTTGCTCTCCTTGCCGAAGCCGAGTCATCCGGAGGAAGAGCAGCGAGAGCGTCTGCCAATTGAGCATCGACCTTGATTTCCAAACAAGTGTCATCAATACGAAAGCCATTGAGGAGAGCAAGGGCATCTCCCACATGACTCACTTGATCATACTCTGCAATGCCAAAGGTAGCAAAGGTCTCCGGTGACTTGGGCTCCGCCACTCGTTGCAGGTTGTCCACCTTGCCTACAGCAGAGAGGAGCGAGTGGAGGAGGCTGTTGGGCACTCGCGGGGGAATGCTCCCCACAAACACTGCGTGGGGTCCGCTCATGTCGACTGGGGCGTGGGCGTGGTGAGGGCGGCGGGCGTGGGCGTGGGGGTGGGCGTGGGCGTGGGCGTGGGGGTGGGCGTGGGGGTGGGCGTGGGCGTGGTGAGGTGGTGGGGACGGTCGACGACTTGGTTGGGCCTGCGTCGGGCGAATCGGGCGAATCGGGCGAATCGGTCGGTCGGTCGGTCGGTCGGTCGGTCGGTCGGTCGGTCGGTCGGTCGGTCGGTCGGTCGGTTGGTTGGTCGGCCTGTTAGCGAGCTCATCGGCCAGTCAATTGGTCTGTTAGCGAGCTGATCAGTCGGTCAAGGAGTTGATCGGTCGGTCGAGGAGTTGATGGGTCGGTCGGTTGGTGTGTCGGTCGTTCGGTCGGACGAGAAGGTGTTGGGTGAGGGGAACCAGGTCAGCGGGCGGGATCACAGGATCTGACGCGGGCACGATTTAAAGAGCGTCTGCTCATTGTGACGGGCTCGCACACACCACAAATGATCAAGACGGCTTTATGGGGAAGGAGGGGCGGGAAACAGTTAACATATTTGATGTGGTGGTGAAATGGACGGCCGATGGGTGGTGGTTGGGCCAGGCGGCTACGAGTAGTACTCAAACTCGCCGTCGTAGAGCGCCTCGATCACTTCGGGAACGGGCATGTGGTCGGCATCAGCTGCTGCGGCAAAGATCAGGTTGTTCTCGATCGAGATGTCGACCAGTCGCATGCTGATGACCTCGACGCCTTCCTGTGGCCTGCGATCGCCGCTGCGACCTGGGCTGTTCATGTCGTTGACGCACCGGCCAGGATCAACCTCAACACGGGCAAGGATCCGCACCTCCTTGGCCACCGCATCTCGGTTGACAATGTTCGGCTTGTCATCGTCGCTCGAGTCGCCGCTCTCGCTGCCGTAGTTGTAGCTAAGGTTGGCTAGCCTGCCAGACGAATCCTCATTCTGCGACCCAGCGTCAAGCGGGCGCGGGACCAGGATCGGTTTCTGCTCTTGGCGATCTGCATCAGCCAGATCAGATGGCAGCGGGTCAGGGCCTAGTGCAGCTGCCAGAAACGCCACCAGATCGGAACCAAATCGGCCAAAGCCATCTGCATGCGGGAGCCAGGTGCCGGTCAGCACCCTGATGGAGGTCTCGTTCTCGTCGTTTGAGTGATCCTCGTGGCCGCGAACAAAGACATACTTCTTGACAGCCCGTCCATCAGCACCAATAGCCAACGATGTGTGCCATCGTTCAAACAAGCCGGTTCCCTCGTTGAATCCGCCGCACGACATCAGCAGACCCGGCGGGACGGCCATCCGCCGTCGACCAAACTCCCGTCGAGCGAGTGCTGCCCACCCCACGCACACCCTCGCCATCTTGGCCACCACCAGAACATCCGCAAATGCCATGACCTCTGCCCATAGCTCCAAAGGAAGAAGATACTCTTCGTTGTGCCCACCAGCAGCCATCTCTGTCGGTCGCGAGAGGCGTGTCCACCAGACTGAGTCTGCGTAGCATCTGTGTACCAGCCCGGAGGGCTTGCACGTGTTCGGTCTCCCTCCCCCCTCCTCCTCCTCCTCCCCCCGATCATGACGTCATGCGACTAGGAGATCATGACGAGCAGCTGGCGATGCTGGAGAGGGACATACTCTGTGGGATCGTCTCCTGTCTTGCGTTGGATCGCATTCAGGCTGGCCACCTTCACGGATCACCTCTTCGAGGCGGGGCAGCGGCCTGGCAGCGGCATTCTGACGACGATGATGACCATGATGATGATGAACATGATGATGATGAACATGATGATGACCATGATGACCATGATGATGACCATGATGATGATGACCATGATGATGATGACCATGATGATGATGAACATGATGATGGTAACTGGCCGTTCGCCTGTGGCTTCTTCTCGCAACCGAATGGAAGCATCGAATCGAAGCGGATGTCGGGCAGAGCAGGCAGAGCAGGCTGAGGAGACTGAGCAGGTAGAGGAGATAGACGTGACTCGATCGAAGCGAGCAAGCGAGCAAGCGAGCGAGAGATGGCGGGAATGACCAAGGAAGAGCGAGCAGTTGCTGAGGCTGTGAGAGGCATTGTGTCGAGGCGACAGGTCGGCTATACCGTTCGGTTGGAAATGGCTATGGTGGCTGGCTCGGCCATGTACTCGCTGGCGGGAACAAGGTCAGACACGGATTATGTCGGCGTCTTTACCATGCCGAGCGAAGCGTATCTGGGACTGGAGAAGGCGAGCAGTGTCATGGACTCCATTGCTAATGTGCCTGGGCACGGATCAGAGGCTGAAGAAGATCATGCTCTCCATGAGATCGGCAAGTTTGCACGCATGCTGGCAAAGGGCAACTTTCAGGCCGTCGAGCAGCTGTACTCTTCTGTTGAGGGCAAGACACCAGTCGTTGCATCGCCGGCCTGGGCTGCCCTCGCTGACCGCCGATCCGAGTTTGTCACGGCTGAATTTGTCACCATGTACTTGCTCTACGTGCGGACGCAGCTGCGGCGACACGGCAAGCGCGCCGCAGAGCGATCCGAGCCGAAGAAGTGGTACAACATCTTTCGGGCCCTCTACGTCATTGGCGCTGTGGTCGATGGCCGCCCGCCACCTATTGCGCTCGACGCCTCGCATCCTGACGACAGCAGAGCCATTGACAGGCTCCTGGCTATCAAGCGCGGCGAGATCGACCAGGTCTTGCTGTTCATGGAGGCCAAGGACCGCCACGCCACGCTTGTTGCGGCCGACCTCTCTCATCTCCCACAGAGCTGCGACCGCGAGTGGCTTAACTCGTGGATCCTCGCTGTCCGCCGCGGCGACTACCTCGATCCGGATGTTCCCGAGCTCTTTGTCATCGAGCCGTCGACCGCCGCCGATCCCTACGCCGACCTCACAGCAGCCGACGAGCCGAGCAATGCCGAGTAGTCGCTAAACCGTACCTTGAGTCTGGATCACTCACAGCTTGTCCCGCCCCACCCGCCTGTATCACTCCGTCCCTCCTTGGCCTTGATCGGTGTATGAGCTCCACCCCGCCCGCAACTTGCTCCTATGGCCCGATCAGCCGCCCCCCTCCCCCCCCGCCCTCCATCACTCTGTCCCTTCTTGGCCTTGATCGATGTATGAGCTCCATCCTCTCGCTGTCGGCATGCGGTAGACCAATCCCGAGCCAAACGCCAAGCCCGACTCGCGCAGCGGGAGCGACAGCAACCAGCGACAGCAGCGGGAGACGCGGGCAGCCAAGGGACACCTCTCGCAAGCTTTACTGAACATGGTACGAGATAGATAGATAGATAGAGAGATAGAGATAGAGAGAGTATGTGTATGTGTGTGTATGTGTGTGTGTGTGTATGTGTGTGTGTATGTGTGTGTGTGTGTGTGTGTGTGTGTGTGTGTGTGTGAGGAGGGGGGTGTAGGGAGGGGTGAGAGAGGGCATGTCGGTTGGTTTTTGGCGGGGGGATGGGGGGGGGGATGGGGATGGGGATGGGGAGTGGGGGGGTAGCAGTGGGAGGGTAGGTAGATATGGGTGTATGAGAGGGGGGAGGAGGGGGGGAGGGGGGGGTATGGGGGAAGGGGAGGGAAGGGGATGGTGGGTGTGGGTACTGGTGGTGGTGGTGGTGGTGGTGTGCTGGAGGGGGGAGGAAGGAGGGGGGGAGGGGGGGGGGGGGGAGGGGGGGGCGTGGAGGATGGACTGATGGGGTTGTGGGTGTGGGTATGTATACTCATTATATTTGTGTGCGTGTGCGTGTGTGTGTGTGTGTGTGTGTGTGTGTGTGTGTGTGTGTGTGTGTGTGTAGTCGGAGGTGGAAGACACAATCAAGCGCATGGAGCAGCACAAGGGTGTGCAGGGCGTCATCATTCTCTCTCATGATGGTATCCCCATTCGGTCAACTCTGGATAACGATAAGACCATCTCGTATGCTGCTCTCATCACACAGCTGACAGAGAAGGCCGCGTCTGTCGTCCGTGAGCTCGACGTCACAAACGAGCTCACCTTCCTCCGTGTCCGCTCAAAGCTCAACGAGATCATGGTCGCTCCCGATGAGCAGTACATCCTCATCGTCATCCAGTCGGCCGGTCAGCAGGAGAAGTAGCTCTACTCATCTCCTCCGTAAACTCCCTCCCTCCCTCTTCTCCCTCCCGCCCGCCCATCCCCCAATCCGATCACGACCCCCTCAAGCCCCCCCTCCCCTCCCCCACCTTCGCCCTCTCCCGCAACCGCTTCTCTCCGCGCCGTCCTCCGAGTACGTACGATCGATCACGATCACGATCACGATCACGATCACGCACCTCCCCCCTCTCCCGCCTCCCCCCTTCCCCCCACAACCCCCCACAAACTCACGTCCTCTACCCCCCTACCCACCGGTGCGGTTCCCTCTTGCTGTCGGCGTGCGTGCGTGTGTGTGCGTGTGCGTGTGCGTGTGTGTGTGTGACTTGACGACGAACGCGACTTGGACGTGGCGAAAACGGGGCGAATGGCAAATGGGCGCCAAAAGTGACGACGCCGCCACTCAAGCCGCTGCCGATGGGAGGAGGAGGAGTAGGGGGAGGAGCAGGAGGCTTTCCCAATATGAGTCGGTATACGCTTGGAGAGGTGTTGGGAAGGGGTAACTTTGGAGCTGTTCGTATTGGTGAGTCACCTTCAGGTACTCAGTATGCTGTCAAGGAGATGGAGGTGTTGGGCAAGAAGCGGCTGATGAAGGAGAGGGCCATTTGGGAGGTGAGGGTCATTGCTGCCGCTGGTAATGGTCATCCCTATATCATTGGATACAAGGAAGCAAGCTATGCTAATGGAACCGTGTACATTGTCATGGAGTATGCATCGGCTGGCAACTTGTCTCACCTCGTCAAGCAGTATGCCACACCCTCGGGCGCGCTTCCCGAGTCGCTCCTCCGTCGCCTGCTCGTCCAGCTGGCCCTCGCGCTCAAGGCCCTGCACGATGCGGACTTTGTCCATCGTGATCTCAAGAGCGACAACGTGTTTCTGGACGCTGGCCTTGACGTCAAGCTCGGCGACTTTGGCCTGGCGCGGTCGCTGCCGCGCAGCTCGTACGCGTACACCCCAGCTGGGACGCCTGGCTACCAGGCGCCCGAGATCATGATGGGCCGGGCGTACAACGCCAAGGCCGACGTCTGGTCGCTCGGATGCATTGCGTACGAGATGTGTGCCGGGCGGCTGCCGTACCACCCGTCAGTCAAGCATCAGATCATGTACATGCAGCCGGGCCCGCTGCCGTACACGTACTCGAGTGGCCTGCGGAGCCTCATCGGCAAGATGCTCAACAAGAACGCACACTCGCGGCCGTCGATTGACGCCATCCTCAATGACTCGTACATGCGTGCGGCGTTCAAGGACGAGCTCAGCGCCGATCACCAGGCGCTCTTTGACGCTTCCTTTGCCTTTAAGGCGCCAAGCGCGGCGACGCCGAGCCACGCCGACGACATCCAGCGCCATCTCATTGGCTCCATCCGGACGTTTGACTTTGCCGAGAGCGAAGCCGCGCCGGCTGAGCCCCCTGTGGAGCAGCTTGTCGCCAAGGAGAATGTGGGCGTGGTGAGCGGCAAGAAGCTTGCCTCGGCCGCCGCCGCGCTCCCGTCGCCGATCGAGGGACTCGACGCCGACGGCACCGGCCCGCTAGCAGACTCTGCGTCGGTGGCTGCGCCGGGCGTCTCCGACTCGGTCGTCCTCTACTCGGGCATCGACAACCTACTTGGCGACCTGGATCTCAACGCCACTCTCGACGCCGAGACTATTGCGGCCAAGATCCAGGAGATGAACTCGCGGTTTAGCAAGATCTCGACTCGGGCGGCAGCGAGCGACGCGGGCTCGCCGGCAGTGCCTGCGCACAAGGGCAGCAGCGCGGCGGCAGCGCCTGCGCGGACGCCTGCGCGGGCCGGCCCGGCAGTGCCTGCGCGGCACGCGGCCGAGGCTGGCGCCGGCGCGGCGCCACTCAAAGTGGCTGCGCACAAGATGACCGTGTCGTCGTCGGTGAACACGAGCGCTGCAAAGGCGCGCGTGGCCAACCCGCTCTTTGACGCGCCGACGGTCTCGGTTGTCGAGAGCTACGGCGTCGGCGGCGGCGGATGGGGCGCGTCGGTGGCCGGCAGCTATGCGCTGTACGGCGGTGGCGGCGGGTACGGGTACGGCGCAGGCGGGCTGTACTTCTGAGGACGGACGAGCGAGCACGGAGCAATGAACAGTGCATGTATCTCGTGGAGGCTCAGCGAAGGCCCGAGCGGGGGCGCGAGGAGCGAAAGAGCGCCGACTGGGCGGCGGCGGCGCGGCGGGCCTGCCAGACGCGCGAGGCGATGACGGCGAACCAGAGGGCAAGGGTGAGGACAGACGACCACATCTGGGTCCGCTCGAGGTTTGCACGTGAGGGATCATGGGCGCAGCGGACGTGTGTGTGGAGGGTGCGACCGGCTGCGTGGACGAGGCCGTGCAGGGCCTTGACGTCGTGCTTGAGCGAGCGGGCAAAGTAGATGGCGTCGTCCCAGCGGTTGAGCGAGGAGGAGAGAGCGACGCGCTCGAGCTTGTAGCGGACGACAGCCCAGCGGAGGAGAAAGTCCTCGACTTGGGCGGTGCCAAGGAGCTGCGAGAGCTCCTTGGAATACTTTGAAAAGTGAGCAAAGAGCCCCTGCAACTCGATGAGGGTGGTGTTGACGTGGGCGTAGACGGCGTGGCGGGCGGCGGCGTCGCGAAGCGCAAACGACGAGGCCAGCTCGGTGGCGTACGGGCCAAACGGGGTGCCGGTGAGTGACCAGAGGTAGTTTTCGTCGAGGTGGCCGTCACGGGCCTGTGACGACGCGAGATGGGTCGGCGTGATGCCAAAGATAGCCGAGAGGAGGGCGCCGGCGAGAGCCGGGTACGGTGCGCCCTTGTCGACACTCACGCCCGAGCTCGCGTCGCCGGCGACCTGGCAAGTGTGGGCGGTGTAGAAGGAGCCTGACGTGGAGACGCCGACGACAACGTCTGCGGCGCCGAGGGCGAGATGTTCGAGATCGAGGAGGAGCTCCTCTTCGTCGAGGTGGAGGAGGAGGACCGGGATGACGCGCGAGGTGTCGGTAGCGTCTGTGCCGTGAGGGGCAGCAGCAGCGGCGGCGCTGGTGCGAGGCGGGCGGCGCTCACGCCGGGCGGCGCGGAGCTCGGCATCTGCGGCAGCGGCGGCGGCGGCGACATGTGCGAGCTCGGCTTCGTCAGTAAAGTGGAAGAGTGGATGCTGCGAGCGGACGAGGTCAAAGAGGGCGGCCGAGTCAAGGTAGTGGTGAAAGGCCATCGAGTGGGAGGCGTAGACGTCTGACTCGAGGGCGGTGAGGTAGGTCTTGCGGGCGTGAGCGAGGGCGTACTGGCAGATGGGGCAATCGGAGCGGGTGAGAAAGGTGGTGGCCGAGGTCAGCTGCTGGCCAGGCAGGGCATGGTCGTTGACAAAGGCCATGACCTCGGCAAGGCGGGCGCCGACCGCCATACGGGCGTCGTCAGCGGCAAGCGAGTCGTCGCCGACGACCACAAACTTGATCTGGATGTGCTCGGCGTCAGCGGCGGAGTCCCAGAGCGGCGGGAGAACGAGGTGCTTGACCGACGACCAGACGAGGGCGGCAAGGTCGGCAAGGAGGAGCTTGGCGTTGGGCGCGGCGTCGAGCCGCGGGAGGGTGTACCACTCGACGATGCCAGCGCCGGCGAGCTCGGGCCCGTAGTGCGCCGGACCTGCGCCAAAGTCGAGCCAGGCGTAGCGGGCGTCAGCCGAGGCATGAACTGGCGCGCCGCAAGGCGAGGATGAGGTTGACGTCGTGTCGCGATAGAGGTAGATGCGCCCGCCTGCTCTGGGATTCTCCAAGTTGAGCAAGTAGAAGGTGTAGCCATCTGCGGCGGCGACCGAGTCTGCATAGACCGGAGCGAGGACGTCATCAATGACGGCAAAATCGACCATGACAACTTGCGGGGAGATGTTTGGATGGAAGGGATCATGAGGACCCTGCTCAGCCTCAGCCTCTGCCACTGCGGCAGCGAGAGCGCCTTGCAACTCTGCAGCGAGCGATGGATGAGCCTTTGTGACATCAAAGACGACACGGGGATGAATGGGACCATACGACGACGACGACGATGATGACGATGACGATGATGACGATGACGATGACGATGATGACGATGACGATGACGATGATGGAGCATCTGGCGAGAGAGCGGAAGCCGCGAGAGCATGAAGAAAGACATGCAACTGTTCATCATCGACATCGACAGCAGCAGCAGCATCACCATCCATACCCACCAGAACCACATGAACATATACAGTATCAGTATATGTAGCAACATCAGCAAGTCGTTCTTCAAGTGGTCCATCAACAAGCGCATCATCTCGCCACAGTGCTCGTCGTTGCTCTCGTCCAAGTGCAAGAAAGCCATCGTCTCGTGCCCAGGGGTCACTCGCCGGCGTGTACGGGAGCTTGGAGAAGACAGACGCAGGTGTCTTGGCTGTACTGCCTTGGGTCGAGAGGAGGAGAAGGACGAGGAGAAGGACGAGGGTCTGCCGGTGGGGCATGCTGCGGTGTGTGGGTGGGGTGGTGGTGGTGGTGGTGGTGGTGGTGGTGGTGGTGGTGGTGGTGGGGGGAGTGGGCGTGTGTGAGCTGAGCTGGGCTGACCTGGGCCGAGTCGCCACCCTATCCAGGCCAGGTCACCGCCTTCGACCAGGTCACCGCCTTCGACCAGGTCACCGCCTTCGACCAGGTCACCGCCTTCGACCAGGTCACCGCCTTCAACCAGGTCGCCGCCTTCAACCAGGTCGCCGCCTTCAACCAGGCTTCGATCAGGATCATTTAGCCGCTGTAGAGCTACTTTGCTTCAACGGCGGCGCGTTTTACGACGTAAAGGTCTTGACGGCTGCGCGCAGGGCAGCGAGCGAGTTGTCGTCGCGGGCTGCATCGCCCGAGGCGACGTGAAAGCGGGTGAGAGCGAGACGGGCGAGATCAGCATAGTGGACGCCACACACAGTGAGCTCGCCGAGTGAGGCTAGCCGCCGTCTCCGCCGCGCCGAGAGTGGTGGCGCGGCGCGGAGCGCCGACGTGCGTGAGACCAGCTTGACCGCGAGAACGACCTGGCGGATCGAGTCGTTGACCCGAATGTCTGCTGCAGGGCGGTGGCCGGTCACGAGCTTGATCTTGCCGGTTACGCCCGGGAGCCGGATGGTGGTTCCGACGAGGCGCGGGCCGGCGCGGGGCGAGCTTGCGCTGCGCCGGCGTGGGACAACCCCGAGCGAGACGAGCTGGCTGGCGACGGCCGCGGGGTTGCCGACCACAACGCGGGCGTACGTGCCTGGCAGCTCTGCGGCGAGGCCGAGGGCGGCGAGGACGAGCATGATCTCGCCGCGGTCGGCGTTGTCGGTTGCGCAGAGCTCGATGCCGAGGACTGCGGCCGAGAACGCCGGCGTGAGGTGCGAGGCGTAGATCGACGCCACGCTGTCGGCGATTTCGCTGGCGAGCGCGCGGAGCGAATCCTGCAGCGGAAGCGCGAGGTACTTGCCGAGGCGAACGCTCCGCGCGGTGGCGGCGGCAAGCTGCTGTGGCCAGTGGCGGCGGGTGAGCAGGTGCGGCTTCCACTCGCTGATGTCGATCGAGGCGCGCTCGTACGGCGAGACCTGGTACGCGAGGCCGTACAGCTGCCGGGCGGCAAAGCGGAGCTCATCGCTGACCAGCGCCGCGTATGCCTTGCACACGAGCGCCATGGCCATCCAGTTCTTGCCGAGCGGGAGGAAGCGGACGATGTGCGAGAGGATCTCGGGCGGGAGAACCGACCAGGCAGCGACAGTTTCTAGCTGACAGACGCGGGCACACGCAGCCATCGCTTCGCTGCCAGTGACAGCGGACGACGAGCCGGGCTCCAGCGTGTGCGGGCAGATCTCGGCACAGCCGCCGCCTGCTCGGGCGACGGCTGCGCCGGTCGATATGGGGGCTAGCACGCCATCATGACTTGTCACAGCGCGACACGCAGTCGCTTCAGCTCCATTGTCTCCGCGATGGAGGCGATGGAACCGCGTAGATGGCGAGGATGATGGGAGAGGTGGCGAGCACCTTCGAATAGAAAGTTCGAGAGGCAATGGACAACAAGCGCGGTGCGTTTGCCAGAGAAGGATATCATATCATGGATGAGAGAGCAAGGTGTGTGCAGGGCATCGGAAGACTACAACTGCATTTCGATGAGAACAAGAATGTGAGGTGGCAAAGAGCCGTGTGTGACGACGGTGTGATGGCATTGCGCAGGGTTTTATGGAGGAAAAGATGCCATTTTCTTTGAATGCTGAGAAGAGCCAACGGAATGGAAGGCTCTTCTTTCCCCTCCGCCCACTCTAGTCGAATGGCGCAGACAAACGGCGATGACTCGTTCGTTGTGTATGGGGGGGGGGAGGGGGGGAGGGGGGGGGGAGAGGATGATTGCGTTTGGCTACGGTTGAGAGCTGCTCGGGCGGATGAAGACGACAACAGCGAATCGATTGTGGCCGATAACTCTCCGGCGACCCTCCTCGACCTCAATGGTGGCCTTCAGCTAATCCGCCCTTCGCATCGGGCACTTGCTGGCGGACGTGGTGACGATGTGCTGGTGGTGGTGGCGGACTTGTTGACGGACAAATTCAGCTCGGGCAAAGTGGAGTGGAGAACGGCATGGGGCAACGGCAGCGAGGAGAATGGTGAGAGTCTGGTGGCCTGGTGGCAGACTCGACGTAGTACTACCGCTTGGCAGCAGCAGGCGCTGGGCGTGGTTATGCTTCGTGAACGAGTGGCGGCTCGAGAAGGAGGCGGCGGAGTGGGCGAGGTGGCGACCGATGCGGGAAGAGGCGCGACGGGCGCCACAGGCTTGGGCGCCATGGCGGTACATTCCGGAGGGAGATTGGAACATGGCGGAGGGCTGAGTCGAGGAGCGGTGGCGATCCTAGGCTGTGTGGCTCTGCTGGTGGTGTGGATGCTGGCGACTCATCTGCCGTCGCGCGAGTCGATGGCGTTGGCGGTGATGGGCGGTGGCAGTGATCCGCCGGCGCTCCCGAAGCGGTTGCCGTGGCTCTCGTTTGCGCCGGCGTACGAGCCGACGCTTGTGGTGTACGCGTACTATGAAAATGTCAAGCACGGGTACGATGCTAATCTGCGGTATCTGCTCGCCACCATTGCGCCTGATGACGGCGTCGACTACGTGTTTGTGGTCAACGGCGTGTCCAGCCGCATCGAGTGGCCGTCGTACGAGAATGTGCGAGTGGTGAGCAAGGGTAACGAGTGTTACGACTTTGGCGGCTATGCCGCGGGCCTGCTGGCGGCGGCAGGCATGTCGTCGGCGTCGGTCGTCGACGATGCTGCCGAACTCTCGGTCGCGCTCGCGGCCAAGTACTCGCGGTTTGTGCTGATGAACGGCTCTGTGCGTGGCCCGTTTGTGCCGGCATATGTGGGTAGGGAGCTTGGGCACTGGACCGACTTGCTGGGCTCACTCCTGAGCCAGACGGTCAAGCTCGCGGGGACGACGATCAACTGCCAATGCGCGCGCAAGCCCGGCAGCGACGACCGGTGCTCGCCGCATGTCCAGTCGATGGTTCTTGTGACGGACACGATTGGGCTCAACGTGCTCCTTGCTTCGGGCTCGGTCTTCAAGTGCTACACCGAGATCTACGACGTGGTCTACTACTCGGAGCTTGGGGCGTCTGCGGTAGTCCGCGAGGCCGGCTACGACATTGCCTCGCTGCTGATCAAGTACGACGGAGCCACGTTTGTCGGACCGGACACGATGGCGTGCAACGCCAAGGGCAATCCAACATACCAGAACCACTACGACGGCAACATGCTGCACCCGCTTGAGGGCATGTTTGTCAAGTCCAAGGCCAATCAGTCGACGCTGGCCGACATGGTCGCGCTCCTCTCGCCGCCTGATCTGACGCCATCCCTGCCGCCGGCGCGGGTGCCAGCACCGGCCACCGGTCTCCCGCCGCTGGATCGGCGGCTGTGGGGCGCGACGTTGGCGGCACACGCCACGCTCGCGTCGGCGTGTGGGCTTGCGTCCAACGTGTCAGTCGCGGCGTGGATGGGGACGCCGACGGCGGCGCGTGCCGATGGTGGAGGCATCGCACACGCCCAACTGCCGCACGCGTCGGCGCACAGCCACGGCCACACACCGTTGGTGCGCTCGGATCCGGCGCTGGCGCTGGGTGTGGTGGCACCGGAGCGGCGGGCGTGGGTGAGCCGTGGGTGCAAGGCGCTGGCGAAGACCCGCTCGTGGCCGCGGCTGCACCACTCGCTGCCGGTGCTCCTTCCGGGCGTCGCCGAGCTCCCTGCCGAGCCGTCGCCGACGCGGCCGAGCGCACAGCGCAGCGTGGACAAGGGCGATGCCAGGGCGCTGGTTGTCGTGCCTGTGGCGAGTCTGCCAACGCCGCGGCAGGCGGACAACATTGCGTGGCTGGCGGCACGGAGTCGCGGCGCGAAGCTGCTCCTCCTTGCAGCGTCGGAGGCTATTGCTCGTGAGCTCAAGGCTGCCGGAATGACCGCAGCCGCGACGGTGCGGGTTGTGGAATGCAAGCGAGAAGTTGATGAGGCCGGGTTGCTCGCGGCGGTCGAGGCCGACGTGATTGACGTTGCACAGGCCTCGGTTGTGGTGGCGGTCTCGGCCTCGCTCCGCGGACCATTTCTTCCTGTCTACGCCAAGGGCATCGCATGGTGGGATCTAGTGAGGAGGGCGGAGGGCGACACGGAGTGCGCGTCGTCGCGGATATACGGGGGGTACCTGTTCCGGATAGCGACGGACTGGAGCGGGGTGCTCGATCCGAGCTCGGCTGTGACCGGGCTCGCGCTTACAGCATGTGGCACTGTGCCGGGCGCGGTCTCCCCGCTGGAGACCGTGTTTGTGCCGTACGGATCTGCCGCGGACGACGATACGCTGACGGGTGGCTGGGCAAGGGCTTACTCGCGTTACGCCGAGGCACCGGATCGCGACGCCAACGCGCTGGCGCCGACGGCTGCGGTGGCGGCTGGAGCCGACGACGCGCTCGCGCTGGAGCTTGCGGTCATGGCGGCATGCGATCTCGAGTTTGACGACGAGTACTTTCAAAAGCGGCACAACTATGTGCTCGCGCCGGGCGGTGGGTACCTCCCGCTCTTTGCCGAGTACGACGATGGCTTTGCGTTCTGGAAGGCCGAAGGCTTCCGCACCGGCAAGCACTACAAGTTCCGTCCGGCGAGCAACGGCCTCGCCGGCTCGGCCTGCCACGGCCTCACCCTCTACGCGCGGCAGTACAACGGCATGGTTGTGTTGGCGCATCCGTCCGAGTACTAGCCAGGCATCGTTGGGTGGTTGCGCTTGTGGTTGTGGTTGTGGTTGTGGTTGTGGCTGTGATTGTGATTGTGATTGTGATTGTGATTGTGATTGAGGTTGTGGTTGTGGTTGTGGTTGTGGTTGTGGTTGTGATTGTGATTGTGATTGTGATTGTGATTGTGATTGTGATTGTGATTGTGATTGTGATTGTGATTGTGATTGTGATTGTGATTGTGATTGTGATTGAGGTTGTGGTTGTGATTGAGGTTGTGGTTGTGGTTGTATGTGTTATCGACGTTGAGATATTACGATTAATCGCTGCAGACATTGTGATTCATCGTTGTGAACAATCGTTGTGGTGAATCATTCAGTTAATCGTTGGCTATGGTCGGCCGAAATGATGTCCCCTTCACTCACTTCAGGCGTTTTGAGCGGCAAAAGACGGCCATCGTTTGCCACTCGGCTCGTTCCTCCCCTTTTTGGTTTTCAGCCATGTTCCGGGGAGCGGTGATTGGCCGTGGCCTGCTTGGCGGCGGACGGATGTGCGGTCTGCAGCAGCTGAGGGGCGCCATGCGTAGCATGAGCATGAGCAGCAACAACAGCAGTGGCTCAGAATCTATGAAAGCACCTACCAATGCCGTGGCGGCAGCAGTGGAGGCAGCAGCAGCAGCAGCAGGAGCAGCAGGAGGCAGAGCGGGTGGCACTCAAGGCAGCGCGACATCCACGGCTGAGGCGACGACGACGACGACGACGGGGAGCAGGAGCAAGGACATGGGGGAGAGTATGGGCATTGCAGGGCATCTCAAAGCATACGCTGGACTGTCAAAGGCCAGACTCTCTCTATTGGTCGTCCTTACATCTGCTGCTGGCTATGGTATGGCTCCAGCTGCGCTCTGTACCCTCCCTCATGGCGCGGCTATGATGGCTACGGCAGTCGGAACAGGCCTCTGTGCCGGTGCTGCCAATGCTCTCAATCAGAGCATCGAAGTTGCTCATGATTCAAAGATGCATCGGACAAAGACCCGCATCTTGCCCACCGGCAAGCTCTCCGTCAACCATGCGCTTGGCTTTGCTGCTGCCTCGGGCACGGCCGGTGTCGGGCTCCTCGCCGCTGCCTCCAACCCGCTCACCGCTGCTCTGGGCGCCGGCAACATTGCCCTCTACGCAGGCCTCTACACTCCGCTCAAGCGAGTGCATGAGATCAACACCTGGGTCGGCGCCCTCGTCGGTGCCATCCCGCCCATGATGGGCTACGCTGCCTGCATGGGCACCATCGATGCCACTGCTGTCTACCTCGGCGCCACCCTGTTCTCATGGCAGATGCCGCACTTTATGGCTCTCGGCTACAACCTCAAGGACGACTACCTGCGCGGCGGGTACAAGATGATGCCGTCGTTTGATGCGCCCAAGGCTGCGGCGGTCTCGCTCCGGCACTCGGCTGCACTGGGCGCTATGGGCGTCGCCGCCCCGCTCATGGGCCTCACGACCCCGCTCTTTGCCCTCGGCGCCACCGGCGTCAACGCCATCCTCATCGCCCGTGCTTGGTCGTTCTACTCTTCGCCAAACAACGCCACCGCACGCGCGCTCTTCCGCACCACCCTCTGGCACCTCCCGCTCCTCCTCACCATCATGCTGCTGACCAAGGCCGCGCTGGAGGACGAGGCCGCGCCGGCTGAGGACGCCGACCGCGGCGCCGATGTGCCGGCTGCAGTGGCATGAGTCACTCGCGAACCGAGTATTCACGCACTCACTACTCCCCCCCGAGTCTGCGATGGAAGGCCGACCTGCAGCGCTGTCGCTGCCGGCGGCTTAGGCCGACTCGCGGCGTGCGGCGGCGCGGCCGCCATGGGCGAGGACTACGGCGAGAACAAGCGGCGCAATCGAGTCAGCGGCATGGTTGACAAAGTCGTTAAAGTCTGCTGCAGCATCGCCTTCCATGGTGTCCGAGAGGGCGCGGACAACAAGGTACGGGACGCCAAAGGCGTGGCAAATCTGGCCAACGGCAGCAGCTTCCATGTCGACCGCCAGCGGCGAGCCGAGCTTCTCCCACAGCGGGCGGAGCTCGTTCTTGCGCGCCGTCGTCACAAACTCGGAGCCTGTCACCACCCGACCGATGTGGAGGGCGGCATCCGGAGCGAGGACTTGCGGAGCGGCGTCTGACGCGAGCTGGAGTAGGACTGGATCGGCGGCAAAGGAGCGGAGACCGTCAAGAAAGGGTAGCTCGCCACGCTTGTGGACGTAGTCGGGCTTGTGCGGGAGGACCAGGGCAGTGACGTCCATGTCGTAGTTGATGGTATCCGCCGCCAGGATGACATCGCCAACCATGTGATGGCCCATGAGACCGCCAGCCACGCCCGAGAACAGCACCGCATCGACATTGAATGCCGTGATAAGCATGGTGGCCACTGCAGCAGCATACACTTGGCCCACGTTGGATGCCACCAGCACCACATCGACCTCGGCAGCACAGCATTCCGATCCAGTTTCCGCACCAGGCACAGGCACATCGGCTGCAAGCGCATCGGCTGTAGGCGCATCTGCGGCAGGCGCATCGGTATCGGTATTGGCGTTGGCAGGCGCATCGGCATCAGTATTGGTGTTGGCAGGCGCATCGGTATCGGTATTGGTGTTGGCAGGCGCATCGGTATCGGTATTGGCGTTGGCAGGCGCAGTCACATCGGCCGCAGCGACGAGGCAATGACCGCAGGGCGCAGCGGGCGAGCACCTTGCCTTGCCGAGATGAAAGGTAAAGAGGGAGCCCTTTGAGACGACAGTCACTTCGGTGAGTGCCTTGCGAAGGAGAGCAATCTCCACACCCATGGCTCCAATGATGCCGTAACTCCGTCGGTCGCTCATATGCTTTGTCTGCGGCGGAGATGAATGTGTTGGGAGGGGGGAGGAGGGAGGAGGGATGAGGAGCGGCTGACACAGTGACGGCGATCTGCACGTGGAGGGGGGTGAGCGGGGGGGGGGGAATCGGATGGTTGGCCTCTCAGAGTGGTGATGGGGGGTGGTAGGGGAGGGGATGGCGGAGGTGATCGGGTTGGGTATGGGGAGGGGGGGGGGGGCTAAGCAGACGTGATGGGGGGAAGTGACCTATGGCGATGGATGGTGACGGGATGGACAGCCATGGTGATGATGGCGCCCAGCAGCTCACTTCCGACCATCACCAAGGTACTCTCATCCCCCACCGAGTCTATCGATTGAAATGGGGTGGACAGTGCAAGTCATCGGGGAAGGCGGCTGTTCCGGGCGTGCGGGCAAGTCGGGCATGTCGGGCATGTCGGGCATGTCGGGCATGTCAGGCAGGCGGACAAGGCGGGCGGGGTAGAGACGGATTGGCGGATATCACCGCACTCTTCGAAGAGAGCAGGAGCGGCAGAGGGAGAGAGGGAGAGAGAGAGAGAGAGAGAGAGGGCCAAGTCGAGGATGAGTCTAAGTAGCATGCCCTCTATGGGTATGCTGGCTGAGGGACGTGGAGGAGGAAGGCATGAGGCAGGGAGAGTCATTGGTGTGGTCGTGGCTCTGGTCGCCTTCCTCGCATCTTCGCTCCCTCCTGCCACTGCTGTCTTCCGATGGCTATTTGCGAAAAAGGATTTCGATTATCCCATGGCTGCTGTGGTTGCTGCCAGCAGCATTCCCTTTGTAATGGCCATACTCTACTTTGCTGCGGTTGCTATGGCTTTCACTCCTTGGAGATCTTGGCGCTGTGGTGTTCATTCAGATCGCGCTCCGCATGCTCCGCCCTATCTCTCGCTCGTACGATTACTTTATGTTGGTGATCTCGTTGTCATTGTCTTGCTTTATGGTCTTGCTCATCTTGGTCTCGCGGTGGCTCTTGTATCGCTTCCGGTGCCGATGGTCCTGGCTTTGAGAGCTGCTCTGGCTCAGGCATGCTCGGCTGCGCTCCTCGTCCTGCGGTCGGATCGCGGACCGCTGGCCACGCTGCTGCCGGCCTTGGGTATGGGGGCACTCTGTCTGGTCATGGCCGTTGTCTTCATCTTTGTCGATTACGATGACGGCCTCGCCTTCCGCTCGCTGTCAACGAGCCAGGTCGCGGCGCTGGGCGTGCTCGCCGGCTCACGCGCTGCCGAGTTTGCCACCGGAGCTGTGCTTCGGACGCTGACCGCGCTGCGCTGTGGGAGGGCGGCAGCCAGCGTGGCGCCCGTCGAGCTTACCGCCGACGAGGAAGCCGAGCAGGCTGCTCCGCGCGAGCTGCGATCGGCGCTCGGCCCGTTTGGTCGAGTCTGGGCCCACAACCCGGCATGGGCCGCGCACCTCTCCGAGGTCCGCGACACTGGCGTGTACGACGGCGAGCTTGTAGGCTTCTCGCGCGAGGCCACATTTGAGCTGCATGCACTGTGCGCCCTAGCGCTGCTGCCGCTGGCGGCCGGCGGTATGCTCGTCCGCGGCACGCCGCTGGCGGTTCTCGGCGACGTCGTGGCTGATGCGGCGAGCTCCGGCCGCGCGTTTCGGATTCTGTCGTCGCTCGTCTGGCTGGCCGCCATCCAGGCTGTGCGGCCGGTGGCTAACGCCCACATTGTCCTCCATGAGCACTCGGTGACGTACGTGACGGGCTCGGTGGTTGCGCTTGCCGCTGGCGTCGGCGGCGCGGTGGTGGTCATCCCCGGCGAGGCCGAGTCAGTCGGTGTACTTCAGTTTGTGGCCGTAGTTGTCATCCTCGCCTGTTTCAGCCTCTCGTGGCGGGTCACTTCCACCCTCCAGAAGCGGGCAACCAATGCTGCTCACGCCGAGACGCTCGTCCGCCTCCTTCCGCAACTGGCCGGCGCCATCGACATGGACGCATACGTTGCGTCGGCGGCCGCCAGCCGGGGGGCCGGTGGCGGCGGCGGCCTCGAGCTTTCCTCGAACCAGCACTTGCTCGCGATGGAGCAATCATCGCTGGCGTCTGGGCATGGCAGAGGCAGCAGAGGTGCCGGCGCCGGCGACGACGGCGCCACCGGCCCGCTTGCTCTCAAGTCGCTCCTTGCCCGTGATTACTCGCACATCGGAGTTGAGGACGAGAGGCAGCTTGCGCGGCAGTCGTCGTTGCGGCCGACGCCGCTGGAGCGGCTCGACGCCCGGCGGAGCGAGTTTGCGGCTGCAGCAGCAGCTGAAGCCGAAGCCGAGGCCGCAGCAACTGCAGCATCGGCAGCAGCGGCAGCGGCAGCAGACGAGGTCGAGGCGGCGAATAGGCACCAAGCCGAGGTGGCGACTGATGTAGATGGTGCCACGCACGATGATGCCATCGGTCGGCCGGGCACGCCTGGCCCACGCCCGCCAAGCTCGACAACCCCTGCGAGACAGGCGTCGGTCCGGAGCGCGATATCGCCGGCGTCGTCGTTGAGGTGATTTGATGCCTCGGTTGCAAACCTGCGTAAACTTCATACGGTGTGGCGAGGACAGGCCGTATCGCCAGCCGCAAAGTTCGGCGCCGCTCGTGTCCAAGCTGCATGACAGCCGGCGGCCGGTCCGGAGCAGCACAGCTCACCTGTTGGTTGCGTGATGGCGGGAAGGACGGGGGGGGGGGGGAGGGGAGGGGGGGAGGGCCAGGCGTAGTGTGGCTTGGTGGACGTTGGCGAGGCAGAGAACATGTGAATATATTTTTTTGCAACTCGATCCGACGGAACGTGGTCTTCACACCGTTTGATGGACACGGTTTGCGCGTGTTTATTGCTGGCCAACGTCGAGCCGCATTCTCGTTCTCTCTAGAACCGACACGATGAAGCTCGCACTGACCTTTGTCGTCATTGTTGCGTGCATTGCCGCAGCACATGCTGACCTCGTACGTGGCATTGCCTATATGTATAGAGGGTGTTTGGGGTGTTTGCTGCGCCAGGGGGGGCGCTGGCGCTTTGTGCAGAGGCGAGGGTTGCAACCCCCGCAAGGGCGAACGACTGGCGTCCATCTACGCGTGAGGCTCGTTTTTTTCGAGTGTTCCATGGCGCTACGGGCGGATGTATGGGGAGGACGGGGCAGCCGAATGACCACCCCTTCGGTGAGTGTAGGGGAGAAGGCGTGCTACGTCCCACTCGGGACTTTGCGTGTGCCTCTAGCCTATTTTGCGCCTTTTGCAGGCGGGAGGGCGGGCTGGCGGGCGGGTGTGCGACCGGCCGCTCTGGCGTATTTTTTTGGGTTCGTCGGAAGACCCCCGTTGGCGTCAGCGGGCGGCGCGTAATTGGCGAAGCAGTGGAGGAAAGGGACTTACGAGTCGGGCATGATGGGCGGCATGGCATGCGGCGGGATGGCTGCGGTGTGGGGACAGTACATGCACAGCCCGCGTGGCTCGAACAACCGCCTCGATGAGGACAACCGCAACCGCAACGACGGGAACCGGCTGTTCGACTCGCAGAACAACAACAAGGGTGGTTACAACATGAACCAGATGGAGTACTACGGTGGCTCCGAGCTCCAGGTGGAGTGGACCAACCAGCACTCGTGCGGCGACGCCGCGGCCGAGTGCCAGATCATCATGCAGTACATGTGTGAGGACAACAACGGCGGCATTGGCATCCGTAACGGGCAGCAGCAGACCCGGATCCCGGAGAACAAGGACAAGGACCACAAGTTCGGTCGCCACGAGTCGGCGTCGTACTGGGCGGACTGCAAGGCCCGCCAGCGCAACCTTGGCCTCTTCCTCGCCGACCAGAACATCCCCGAGGATGCGACTGCGATGCGGACTCGCCAGAACAACGACGAGAACGCCAACAACCGCCGCCGTGGCTACGAGTGCCCGGAGGAGCGCGACTACTACCCGTACTGGCATCCGTCGCCGTGGAAGGATGTCGCGATCTTCACCTCGCGCTCGGACGAGCTCTGCCCGATGTACCGCGCCGAGTCGCAGAACGTCAAGGGCAAGCACTACTGCACTGGTCTTCGCCAGGAGACGCCCGGCAACCCGATCACCTCGGGCTCGGCTATCAACAACCAGGCTGAGTGCGAGGCTATTGCCGAGTTTGAGTGGGTTGAGGCGCCGGCCTGGGGCCTTCCCGCGCCGGCCTGCTTCCCGGACACCATGATCAAGTCGCGGATCAACCACCTCGGCAACGGCGTCGACGGGTGGCAGAACCGCTACGTGTGGCGCCTGCCCGCCGTCTCGCGCGAGCAGGTCTGCGTCTTCCGCATGCGGTACAACATCACCACGATGGACTACGACGGCTGGAACACGTACGCCGACATGAACGACAACGAGGACAACTACGCGTGGCAGGGCGACCCGACGGTCAACGTCGGCTCCGATGGCACCGACATCCTCCTCAAGCTCCGGATCTCGACGGACCAGATGGGCCGGACCTTCCAGGACCGCACGTCGACGTTCATCATCAAGCCGTCGCCGGTCGAGGGCCGCATCATCAACCTCAACGTCATGGGCCAGCGCGGCAACATTGTCCAGAACTACCCGTCGGTTGAGTACGACTACGTGCCGACCATTGTGCGCGCCACGACCTCGACCTTTATTCACCGCCAGGTGACCGGCTCGAACACCACGCCCGACGGTGCCGGCAACGGCGCCGACGAGACGGACCGCTCCAACTTTGTTGAGCTTGCCAAGCCCGCCGAGGGCGCGGTCAAGACGTCGGCCGGCAACTACCCGGCGTACGCCGAGAACATCACCATGTTCAACCAGCCGATCAACAACAACGCTGCGTACGACATGGTCATCCACTGGTCGACCTACTCGCTCAACAACGACCAGCAGAACGAGGCCAACCCCTACCAGGACCTCGGCCTCATGCGCTACAGCTCGCCGGCGACCTACGAGTTCATGGCCACCCGCAACAACGACTTCTCCAACCGCTCGCACAAGGGCCGCATTGAGGTCACCGATGGTGGCAGCGCCTCGCCTTCGCTCGACGCTGGCAAGATCGCCATCATCGCCGGTGCCTCGGTCGGTGGTGTCGTCGTCGTCGGTGGCGGTGCCGCCTACGTCGCCACCCACCGCTCCATGTTCTCGGGCATGGGCGGTGGCGCCAAGGCCCCTGCCGGCTACGCCTAATCGTGGTCTGTCATCACACAATGAACAAGCCGATTTTCTTCAGCGTAGTGACCGGGCGCGCAAAGAAGAGGGGAGGGGGCATCTCTGTGGTCTTTGCCTGACAGGTGCGCACCAGGGAGGGGGGGGAGGAAATAGCAGCTGACTCGCAGAGCGCGAATGATGTCAAGGTGGACAAGTCGGCGTAGACATGGTGTTGGCGGTGGTGGTGGTGGTGGTGGCGGTGGTCTGGTGGTGGCTCTGGCGGTGGCTCTGGTGGTGTGGCTCGGGGCAGAGGCTGTGGTTGGAGACGGGGCAGCTCTGTTTGAGGCGAGTGACTTTGCCCATCATCGGCAACTCTCTCCAGAGTACGACCTTTATTGGACGGTGGACAGGGCGAGTCAGCGAGTCATCTTCGGGGTCTCGGTCGAAGCAAGTGGTTGGGTCGGTCTCGGCATCTCGCCATCGGGTTCGATGGTCGGTGCGGACATGGTTGTCGGTGGCGTGGTCAGAGGGGAGGTGTATTTCTCGGTACGTTGGGAGCGGTGCGAGCGGGGAGGGGAGGGGAGGGGAGGATGGGGAAAGAGGCGGTGACTCATGTGAAGGAGGCTTGTATGCGGGTACAGGATCGGCATGGTGGGAGTGAGAACGGGTTCCCAGAAGCGGATGGCGACGGAACGCTGTGGGTGCTGGAGGGCGGGAGCGAGGAGGGCGGGCGGACGATGCTGCAGTTCTCGCGAGCAATTGGGGCATGTAATGCAGATGATGTGGCGATCGAAGCTGGGACGTCGCAGGTGGTGTATGGCTACACGTTGACGGCCGACGCGGACAGCTCGTTCTCGCCCGGCGTGTTTGTAAGCACGATGTGAGCGGCACGGCGTCGGTCAACCTGCTCACAGCCGGCCAGGGTACAGCAGCATTACCGGATGGTGCGGCCACGGGTGAGCTCCGCGCCGGCGGCGTGTTTGTGGGCGGGGCGACGACGACAATGTACGGGTGCTCGGGAGGCAAGCTCCCGGGCGACATCAAGTACCATTTGATCGGATACACGCCTGTCATCCAGCCGACGAGCAACCATGGACGGGTCCACCATATGGTGGTATACGCGTGCCCAAAGACGATGGCGATCAATGAGACAGCGTTTCTGGGGTGGCGGGGCGACTGCAACCGCGATGCGAGTATGCCGGCGGAGATGGCGCGGTGCAAGGAGGTTGGGCAGCCGATCATGGGCTTTGGGGTCGGCGGCGGCGGGGTGCGGTTCCCAGCGCATGTCGGACTTCCGTTTGGGCTCGGCGAGATAGCGTACGTAGTGCTGGAGATCCATTACGACAAGATGCAACCAGAGATGTTTGTGGACAACTCGGGGATCGACTTTCACTACATGGCGTCGTCGGGAGAGCGGCAGGACGCGGGTGCGTTCTGGACGGGCGCGGTGGGCTTTGTGGTCCCGCCGGGCCAGGCCGCGTTTGGCGTGGACGGAGTGAGCGCGAGCGAGTGCAGCGCGAGCGTGTTTCCGCCGCAGGGAGTGAGCATCTTTGGCGCCTTTCCGCACACCCACTTGCTCGGACGGAGCGTGGTGGGCCGGCATGTGCGGAACGGGACGGAGTTGGCGCCGTATGCGTGGAACCCGCACTTTGACTTTAACTTTCAGGCCTTTGAGTGGCCCGCGGACGAGATCCGTGTCCTGCCGGGCGATGAGCTTCATGTGCGATGCGAGTACGACTCGCGCGGGCGGAGCAGCGCGACGATGGAGGGGCCATCGACGCAGCACGAGATGTGCCTCGTCTCTGTGCTCTACTACCCTCGGGCGGCGCTGACGACTGCAGTTCAGACGACCGAGTACGAGGTGGTCTTGCCAGAGTTTGCAGCGGCGCTCGAGGCCGGCGATGCGAGTCTAGAGGTGGCGCGGGTGCGGCGAGCGATGGAGGCGTACCGCAACAAGACGAGCAGGGCCAGCGGCGACGACAGCATCGAGCCGCTCCGCAACCTCCGGATTGCGGCGTTCCTCAGCGAGGCCGGGGTCACCTGGAGCGCACTCCAGGTGGCACTGTGGAAGGAGGCGATGGCAGCTACTGAGGCGAGCGGGCGGGTGACGGCGTGCTTCGACGGGGCGGTGCCGCAGGTGTGGCCGTTGCCGTCTGCGCACCTCCCTCTTGTGACGACGCACTACACGCGGCCACAAAGCTGCGGACAGACACCTGTGACTACGCCGAGCATGGGCGATGCGCTCCAGCTCGACCGGCACCCGGGAACGTCGCGATCGGCCGTCCTCGGCTCTGTCATCCTCGCCTTGGCGCTCTGCTCGGTCTTCACCTGCGCGTTTGTGGCAGGAGTCTTTACCAGTGCGCGGCCCAAGTCGAGCATAGACGAGGGAGCAGTTGAGCTCGAGCGTCGGCGGTCCGAGTTTATGGAGCGAGTGGCATCCGAGAGCGTGGCATCGTCGATGGGCCAGACGAGAGTGTGACAGTGGTGATGGCGGCAGCTGTGCGGGTACTTGTCTTTGAGAGATTGGTGTCTGTCTGTGAAAGAGAGGGATCCATCTGGAGGAGGCAAGGATGAGTGAGATGCAGTCGTTGTTGGATGTGCGGGAGAGGGCCGAGTATCTGTCTAAGGTATGGCCATAGGGTGTTGGGCGGGGTTGGGGGGCTGGGGGGGGTTGGGGTTGGGGTTGGGGTTGGGGTTGGGGTGAGGACTGACGTGTGTGCGTATATGTGTGTATGTGTATGTGTATGCGTATGTATGGTTATGGTTGTGGTTGTGGTGGTTGTGGTTGTGGTGGTTGTGGTTGTGGTGGTTGTGGTTGTGGTTGTGGTTGTGGTGGTGGCGGTTGGTCGGCAACTCGGGACTTGGCGCCGGAAACCGGGGCGTGTGCGGATGTTGATGGGGGCAGATA